TTGCAACTACAAGGTCTTCCACATGTGTTGAGATTCGTAACACAGCTCTTTCCCTTATTCCCTTAAAAGATCAAATGACTATATATAAATCATATGAGTTGAACATATCTTTAAAAGCAAATGCCCTAAAAGTGGACAATACCTCCATTCTAACAAACTTCTAACTTCCATACTCAATTATGAAAGTGAGGCAGAGATAAGTACAAATGTTTTATTTGCCACTGACTCATTTTGACTAAACTCCATGGATCTATTTTTAAATATTTTATTTGAATATCCATCTCCATGGGTACTTGACTCCCTGCCAACTTAGGCTAGAAGAGTTGCTTCCTGTCCCTTTCCCACTTCGAGTGTCACGTCCTATAGCTTTCTCTGTTCTGCAGGTCATTAAATGAATGTTCTATCTTATCATCTAATATAAAAGACTAAATGAAATGCATGTAAAACCACACAAAACACTCTTCATGTTCCCAAGTGTGTAGAAGTGCCTTTCAACCTTATCTACAACACAAAGTATTTGATGTCCTTCTGGGCACTAGACGGAACCCTCTTATAGGCAGCCACCTATACCCTCATGTTTCCTAGCAAAGATAGTACTTCTGGAGACACTTTATGGCACTCAAGCACCCATGGCACCAAGCAATGTGGATGAGTTTCCCAATCACAAGCATATAGAAGTCTACACCCCCAAAGCTCGAAATATCCAAGATACATCTCACAGACCACATGAAGCTCATGAACAAGGAAGACCAAAGTGTGGGTGCTGTTCTTAGAAGGGGTAACAAAATATTCATGGGAGTAAATATAGAGACAAAGCATGGGACAGAAACTGAAGAAGGGGCCGTCTAGAGACTGTTCCACCTAGGTATCCATCCCTTGTGCAGTCACCAAAGATAGACGCTGATGTGGATGCCAGGAAGTGTATGCTGACAGGAGGCTGATATAGCTGTCTCCTTAGAGGTCTGCCAGAGCCTGACATATACAGAGGTGGATGCTCACAGCTAACCATTGAGCTGATCAAGGGGTTCCCAATGGAGGAGTGAGAGAGAAGACTGAAGGAGCTAAAAGGGTTTGCAGGCCCCATGGGGAGAGCAACAATACTAACTAACCAGAGCTCCCAGGGTCTAAACCACCAGCCTGGGAGCACACGGGGAGGGACCCACGGCCCCATCTGTATATGTAGTGGAGGATGACATTGTAAGGCATAGGTGGGTGAGGAAGTCCTTGGTCCAGTGAAGGCTGGACATCCCAGTGTGGGGGAAATCATGGGTGGGGGGATGGGAGGGTAGGTGGGGGCATGCCCTCATAGAAGCAGGGGGATGGGGGAATGGGATAGGGGGTTCCTGGGTGGGTGGAGGAATGGGGAAAGAGGATTACAACTGAAATGTAAATAAAATATCCAATTAAAAAATTAAAAAAAGAAGTCCACACCAGGATTAGTTATTGAAACATTGTTCTCAGACTTCTAAGCAGATGACTCCTTCCATGAGTTGTACCTTCAGTCTAGCCATCTACTCTTCATTAAAGAGCACCCTTCCCCATCTTTCTCAGTATACTTTCTGCTGCTGTAATGGAATGATGCAGGATGGGTAATTTGTAAAGAAAAGAAATTGAGCTGGGTGTGGTGGCCCATGCTTCAACCCCAGCATTCAGGAGGCAGAAGCAGGTGGATCTCTGAATTTGAGGCCAGCGTGGTCTATATAATGAGTTCCAGGTCAGCCAAAGCTGTGTAGAAAGACCATGTTTCAAAATACACACACACACACACATACTTGGCTTCTCACGGTTTCTAGAGGTTGGAAAAGTCAATACCAAAGTGATGGCTTCTAGATCCTTTATGTTGTGTGACAAGATTACTCGGATTTCTCTCTTCTGCTCTTCTTAGAAAGCCACTAATCCCATCATGATGGCCCTACCATGGTGACCTTATCTATTTCTGATTATTAGGCTCCCGAAGCTCTATTCCAGATTCAATCAACAGGTGAATTTGGGGATTACATTTCCAATGCATGGACTTCAGGGAGAACCGACATGTTCAAACTAGTTTACTAACCCTACTCCAGTAGTCGCTATAACACCCTGTTGTTTAATTTACTTAATCAAAAGCATGCATTAGCTTTAATGGACCGGCATGTAAGCTCTATGAAAATAGAGTCCTTGCTCATCATCACGCCGTCCTGGAGCAGAGTACTCACTCAAGAAGGGAGCAAACTGTGGCTTCAGACACACCCATCAGGCTTTGTCAGCCTCTGGTTGGAGTACTGGCTTCACTACTTACTAACTGGGGACTGAACATGAGTCATCAGGCTTGGTGGCCTTAACTGACCACTTAAACACGGTGAACTTCTAAATCCTTATCCTACAAGGTCATTATAGTGAGTAAATGGAGCTCAAGTGTGTGTGATGTGCTCACACAATTCTTACTAAATAATAATTATTACTGTTACTTCCATATAATGAATACAAGGGATAGTATGTGACAAGTATTATTTGATAGAAATAAGGTTGACATCCCTAATTCAGAAGTGGAAGGTAACATGTGAAATTAATTCTTCAACTGGTACTTCATGCTGGATAAAGTATCATCCATTTTTATTAAATTCCTTAACTTAACGTTAGCAATGGCTCCTTGTTACAGCAAGACATTACCTGAAACTCGTTCTTGGTATCCATTTGGAAATATCTAAAAATTTTCTTAGTGGAAAAACAAAACAAAACAAAACTCAAGTGTGATTGTAGAGATCCCTCCCACGTATCATTTTAACTATTTTTTTAAGCCGAGAAAAATGCTAGTTGCTGTTTCTTGTACTACCAAACAGTTCATTTAGCCACTTCTTTTTCTTTTTGTTTTTGTTTTTGTTTTTCGAGACAAGGTTTCTCTGTATAGTCCTGGCCATCCTGGAACTCACTCTGTAGACCAGGCTGGCCTTGAACTCAGAAGTCCGCCTGCCTCTGCCTCCCAAGTGCTGGGATTAAAGGCATGCGCCATCACCGCCCGGCACACTTAGCCACTTCTTAAGGACCCAAGAAAATCACTATTCTAGGAAAGCTTGAATCTGATGGTAAGGAAACAATCTCTCCTTTCCCTTCATTAGACCCTGGTTCTCCCATAGTGAAGGTTTTCATGTATAGCCCATTTCTCCCCACGCCAGGGTAGATAGTTAATTCAAAAGGAGCAATAAATAGTGCCTGGCTGTTTGCCACCAGCTTGCTAGGGACTGGGGAAGGACGACAGTCTCATTCACCATGTGTGTAGCTCCCTCCCTCCCTTCCTTTACCTCAGTCGTTTCCTTCCTTAAGTATGTCTGGTCTAGACTCAGCTTGGCCTGCAGAGAGCTTGGCACGGGCTTCAGAGCAAGGTCAGCCAGAATGTCTGTGCTTGGCACTGCACGGTCGGCCCTGGCTAGAAGTGATAACGTGAGGGATGGTTCCCACGGACAGGGATGCCTTGAAACAGAGTAGAAAATCCACTCATTTCTCGTCTGCCGACCTGCAACCCGAGCACAAAGGAAAAGGCTTCTCTTTCAGTTCTTTTGTTATTTGCTTGGTTTTTTTGTCTCACTCACAGGACAGCACGCACGCAGGATGCACGCACCCATGCGCGCGGCGCGCTAGGCCAGAAAGGGATTTTCCACCTACGCGTAGCATTCTTCTTTCCCTAGTTCCGCTTTCCTAACTCTCCTTTTCAAAAAGTAAAAATGCTGACTATATCAGGAACAGAGAAAGAGAAGGTAGGCAAATAAATGTCCTGTCAGAGTAGGTGTATGGCCGCACATTCTTCTCTGCCTCGTTCTTTGGGATAACTCTAGGTTGCTTCTGTAATAATGACATTTACTTTATTTAAAATGAAATGTATGATAATCCCCGTGGGGGGGTGGGGAGAGAGAGAGAGAGAGAGAGAGAGAGAGAGAGAGAGAGAGAG